TCGACATTGATGCTGACCTTGATAGTTTAACTGGACTCGCTAAGCTGAAGGCACCCGGTCAAGCATCCTCGCCATTTGGCACACTGTCGTGTTACGTTGCATTGCTCGTATTTGACTCTCTAGCCAGTTAGTCGGAACATATCGGTATTTTGGCACAACCTTCCAAATACACTATTCCATCCGACTATGTCATCGTGTTCTTCCTTGGTCTCGTACTCGTGGGTACATAACAAGTCTGAATAATTGGTGATTGGTCTTTGTGCCTGTCAAGTCCGCACCAGGACAAATCCTAAATTGGTGAGCCCGATGTGATAACATATCCCGAACAATAACAGATATTGAATTGGTGAGCCTGTTCCATTTTATATTTGTATGTTGTTTTCATTTCGATGACATTTACCACACTTTCTCATGTCCGACGACACTCCTAAGCTTATCCGTATTAAACTGACTACGAACACGATCCAACTCGTACCATATTGGCCAGACAATGCGGAAACATGTTTTCTGTATGCCGAGGCTGATTTTCGAGAACATGGCGTCTCAGATCCTCATTCTCGATTTCTTGCTGTCATGCGTTCACTACCACGGGAATTAAACAGGTATGTTACGGCACACATGTTTAATCCTGAATTAAGTCATCCTTATGCACTTTCCGAGGCCACACTTCTGAAGAAAAGCGATCTCACAGGTCGCCAGAGCCTAGACAAATTACTTCGTAACATCAAGCTAGGCAGCCACTCAGCTACTGGAGTCCTCACACGCATGCGAGAAGTTATCGGTGCACGAACATTTGACAATGGCCTTTTCCGAGAACTATTTCCCTCAAAACTACTACAACCGGTGCAAACCGTGTTGGTGACACTGCCGTCAGTCTCACTCGATGGCCTGGCAGCCTCGGCAGATAAAATACTGGAGATATCCAGCAGACCAGTCTCCAACGTATATTCTATCTGCGACAAACCAGAGCGCCAGGATTCAGAGGTGACCAAGTTGTGCAACTCTGTGAGACGGTTGCTACGATCTCGAAGTCCTAGATCACGTAGCACTTCACAGAAACGCACCTTGGCGCATAGCAGCAAGTCGCGTGGTAGCCCTAAAACGAAACCCAACAGGGTGGAAAACCCTGAATGGTACTGGTTTCATAATACTTACGGAGAGGAAGCCAGAAAATGTCGCAAACCATGCCGTTTTAAGAAGGACACAAACTCGGGAAACGGTCACGCCGGCACGTGCTCACGGCAACCGTAGCCGGCGGAAAAAGCCGTTTGCTCTACGTCACCGGCATAAAAACGAAAGTCCGCTACCTCGTCGACACCGGCGCAGGAGCTAGCGTTCTTCCCGCAACGACACAGGAGCGTCATAATGACCCATCCTTCAACCTTCAGGCAGCCAACGGCAAGGCAATCGCTACATTTGGGAGACGGTATGCCTACCTCAACTTAGGTTTACGTAAACCTATCCACTGGATTTTCCTCCTTGCCGGCGTTTCTATGCCAATCATTGGCATAGATTTGCTAAACCATTACGATCTACTCGTGGATGCTCGCCGTCGACGACTGATAGATAACAACACAAAGTTATCTGTTGGCGGCACCACCTATGTAAGTCCGAGTTTAGCCATCGTTAGAACTAAACAATGAGGGGACGCGTCCTACCAAGCAGTTTTGGAGAAATATCCAGAGTTGCGACAACCGAAGCACTCTGCCGTGCATAATCAACAATGTTGTGCATCACGTCACAACCACAGGTCCACCTGTGGCATCCAAAGCGCGCCGTTTAGCCCCCGATAAGCTCAAAACGGCGAAGAGCGAATTCGACCACATGCTCGAACTGGGCATTATCAAACCGTTAAACAGCCCTTGGGCATCACCATTGCACATGGTTCCCGAAAAGGGTAGCAACGACTGACGTCCGACCGATTACTATCGAAGGCCTAAAGCCAAAACAACACCGGTGGATAGCCCAATTATCGGAACTCTTGACGATGTGCCTGGTAATGCACAGTTGCAACAACCATCGGCGCAACAGAAAACACGATCAGGTCGAACCGTCAGGTTCCCGGAGTATTTAAAGTCATATTCAACTTAGTGGTGTGAAATAAGATGTGCCAACCATACTTTTTTAAATTCAATATTTTTTTCCGAGGCACTATTTTTCTTATTTACCAGAAATGTGAAACCCCTCGTACATTTTTTATCTCACTTTCTTTATTACTATGCAATGAAACTTTTTAGATAAAAACGGTGAAAATAAGCGTTAACGTTATTTTCGATA